CCCCCCCCCCCCCCCCCTTGAACCCTAACTCCCTACCCCATTCCACCCACGTAATGTTTTGCTAGATTACATATAAATGCTTTGGGATAAAAATTTTTGCTTACTTACCAAATACTAGAAATAAGTAAAAAAAACTCATTTTTCAACAAAACATTTTGCATGAAAAATATTTTCTTTCATACCAAACACCCCCGGCCACAGTCAAATCAATGCTTCTTCTTCAAGTGAAAAATTAAAAATTACTTGGATTTGGTGGCAGGATCCACGCCCTCACATCTCAATAACTTGGGCATTGGGGGATATCAGGGACACCCTGAAGAGAATGGTGGAAGAAGAGATGAAGAAATACAAAGTGGGTTCAAGTTCACGGCAGAAATGTATTTTCACTAGCAAATTCACTGGCATTTTGTGCAAAATAGGCAACAAGATGCATGAAATCTGCAAGTTTCAGGAAGAATAACAATTGTTTATAGATTCCTAGTTAACCTTTTCAACTATGCATCTCCCAGAAGGCTAATTAGAAGGACTTGTTATTGTAAAAAGTCGAACTGAGCAAAAAGGAAAAAGGCAACGATTGTTGATAGGTTTGTTGTTTCAATGAAGATAACAAGAGAGAGGCTCACTCTGTTCTAGAATCTCTGTCCAATATGAGCTGAAAGAAGATAACAAGTGATGAGTGCATATTCCCAGGTCCCAGCATATCAATGATGTACTAACTCGTAAAAAGGTTCGACTTGTCTAATTTTATGAGTTCTATTAGATTCATCATTTGAGAAAAAAATTATGTGAGTGAGCCCTTAAAATGTTATTTATGTTCTATTAGATGCATTTTGGACAAACTTTAAGCTACATATATGAAATGATCTATATCCCTATTTATGAAAAGATGAAAAAACAATTCCATCTTGGATACCTTTCAACAATAGTACCTGGATGTTACCTGGAAAAAAATCATTTAAGTTCATGAAAATTCTATTTTCTGGTCAATAGTACCTGGGTGTCTTGAAGAATAAAGTCATTTAATATTATCAGTAATTTCCTTCACCAATTGGTCTATGTTACTCAAATTTTCCCTCAAAAAAGAAATATCATCTTTGCTAACATTCCATATTATATGGCATTCAATACAATTTCTTATCACCCTTCTCTTACACAGAATGTGTGATTGACCGACTCTACCTCTATTCTTTATTTAGGATGTGAACTTTTTTGTAGTAGTTTATTTTTTTCTTCCTCTTTTTTATAGAGGTAGCAATTATAAGGCGGGGAAAAACAAACTGAGACGCGCGTGATAGTAATACAAGCATAATGAATTTAGACTTGGCACGATATTAGATTCTATTAACCCTTTGGGTGGTTCAGTGGTTTGACTTGGTACTTCCATGTTGGAGGTCTCAAGTTCGAAATCCCTTCCCAGCGGAAGCAAGGGGTTTGTCTTCTGGATCTAGCTCGTCGCATCGGGATTGCCTAGTGCGGGTTACCTTTCCTGTGTGGTTTGCGAGCTATTATATGCAGGGGTTTACCTTGTGCGCACCCAAAGGGTCGAGATTGCGGGTTTCCGTTGTCATAAAAAAAAACATATTTCATATAGAAGATGTATTATGACTTTGTGAGAAAAACAAAAAAAGTGGATAAAAACTAGGACCTAATACAGAAAGATGTAGGATTATTGCTTTGCTTGAAAGAAAAAAAGTGGATAAAAAACTAGGACCTGCACATGGGTTCTAAGTTGTAACATGTTTTAGAACGTAAGATGTTCAGATATTTCCAAGTACATCAATCCAGAATGAATTCATATCGAATTGGTCGAAGGAGTTAACAGCAGAACCATGGGGAATGGAATATGGCTGGGCAACACCAATATTTGTACATGTGTTTTCCATGTCGGAGACTTGTTGATCGACAACAAGTGAAGTAACGTTGTTATAACAATCTTCAAAAGTTTGTGAGAAATTCACAAAAGGATCCATCATTTGGTTTTCTTCACATGTAATAATGCTGCTGCAGGGTGAACAAACACCTGTTGTTAATGAACTGCTGTTATTGCTCGTTTCAAGCACAAGTCTTCCTCGAGTACTATTTTTCTTCTCATCTTCTTTGGTTTGTTTGCGGCTTTTCCTGGTTTTCAATAGAGCATCATGATTTTTCAGTCCAAGATGCTTCTTTAAGTGTGCGTGGAAGAAGTTTTTAACTTCGTTGTCTGTTCTTCCAGGCAATTTCGCGGCTATTGCTGACCAGCTGCATAGAAATACAAATTTAATTTGGTTTGGTTTTAACAGTATTATGTATTTAGGAGCAGGACTTTACAGAAACCTATGTTAACAAATTTGCTAACTTTCTTGTGCAGAACTCTGTTGTGTTGGGGGAAAAAGAGCTTAATTCTCACCTATTTCCAAGTTCCTGATAAGTTTTGATGACAATTTCGACTTCTTCCATGGTAAAGGGTCCTCTCCTAACATCAGGGCGGAGATAATTCATCCATCGTAGTCTACAACTTTTTCCCGTTCTTGAAAGCCCTGCAACCACACGACCAAAGTTCAGGAGACTAAGAAAACATGAATTACAACAAAAGAGTTGCATAAGTTCCACCCCCTCTCTTGGAGCTCCTACTTTTTTTCTCCCTTAATAACTCGAAGCCACAAACTTAGGGTTGGAGGTGGAGGGTGCTTATCATCTAAGCAACCCCTCTTGTCGGTACATAAGTTATTGCTAGAAAGTATTGAATGAAAATATGATCATTCAAAATCTGAAATGAAAATACTATTAGTATGGTTTTATTGGCGTAACCTGCAAATTTGGGCATCTGTTTCCAATTCCAGATGCCATATTTCATGATATAACCTCTCAGTTTTTGGTCTTCCTCTGGAGACCATGCCCCCTTCTTTATGATCTCCTCCATGCTTGTACCTTTCTGCTGCTGTTGTTGTACTATTGGCATGATTAATGCAGATAAGTAGGATTATTTTGAAGTTCAAGTCACCTGCTTTAGTACTTGGATTGTTTCAGAGCTCTTTCAGAAAAGAATAAAAAACCTTGTGGTTTATATAGTTATTTTTGCCATCCATTATACATGGATCTGTTCTTTATTCAATATACCTCATTTCCAAGAAAGTGTAGACTTTCCACAACGACTTCATTGTTTTGTCTTGTTAGTCATTCTTAATTGTCTTTTCATGATTTTTAAAAATCAATTCTTTGAAGGAAGAAGAGCAACTCTACATGGGAGAGATTTTTTCATGTCTAATTGAGTGTCATGATTTAGTTGGATAGCTTAAACTTACTTTTTTTGGTCCCAAGTAACTTGGAGAAATGAGTAAAGGGTGTTAAATAAGTTTTTAAATTAAAATGGTGATAACTCTCATAGCAAAGGTTAAAGACTCACTTAATTTATGATTTAATTAAATGAGGTGTGAAATGTAATACTTCACTCAAACAACTCACAGTGGTGAGTGGTTAGGGTTTTGATTTTTCAAAGTAAAAATAGTGATTTAGGTTAAAGAAGAAGAAGAACATGAGTTTTACATATTTTGTTATTGTACACCTTGATAAATAACGTATTTGTTGTTCTTGTTGTAGTGTGTATACTTAAACATATGCATCACAGGTGAGAAAGAGAAGAAATTGTTGTTGTCATTGTACTCGTTATTGTCATGATGTATGAAATAAAAATTGAGTCTGCAACTATTTGATTTTTTCCAAACATTTCTAGAGGTTTTTTCCGCTGCGAATAAATGAAAAATTTGTATTATTAGAATGTGATTTTTTCATCCATTTTTTTGTCGAACCAATTCATTGGAAAAATGCACGGTGAGAAATAATTTCTCGCTAAAATATTAAGAAGTTTCCAAGATTTTTCATGTGAAAACACTGATTCAATCAAAATATCTTTGAAAATAATCACCGAACATTTTTAAGTGAAAACTTTCAATAAAAAATAACAATTTTTTCGATGGTGATTAATGATTATACATATGTAATTTTTTAAATTTTAAATTAGTTCCACTTTTTTATTTATATTAGTCCTTGAACTTTCTTGTTTAGACAAAATTCAAATAAACTTCATTCGTAATACACATTACATATGTGTTATGAATAAAACAAATTTATGATTTAAACCAAATGCATGTTATTTATCGGTGATTTGCTTTCTCACCAATAAATAATTATTGAATAAATTGCACATAATAATTTTTAATAAATTTAATTGAAAGAGATATTTATTTTTAAATGGAGACAGTAACTATTTTATTATCCCATAAGAAAGGAGAAAGAAATCTAGATAGTGAAAGTGCAAAGAGCTGATGTCAATTTTGTGATGTTAAAACATTGGGAATATTAATTCAACAAATTGATTAAAGTGTTTCGATTCTTTTTGTTATTTTAATGTTATAGAGCACGAGGTTCGTTGAGTACAACCTAATCATTTTCTTAATTTCTAATTTGACCCTACTACCGCGTTGAAATTACTTATCTTATGAAGTTACATTAATTATATTGTTATTGTTGTTTGTCGCGTTGTCACTAATTTCGTGATCATAGCAGCTCTATATTTTGTGTCGAAAGAAAAAAAATAAAAAAATTCAGTCCCTATAATTAAAATATTATCACTATTTACTACGTTGAATTTTCTTACTCGTGTCTACAAGTCGAAGGCTACAACTTACTAGAAGTATATTATTAATCCTACAAAAGGCATCCTTTAATTGAGCTCTTCAACGATTAAAATTATATTTGCTTCTATATATACATAACAATATTTTATTTTTGATGAAGATATATTGATTATGCAAATTAAAGGATTAAACTTATATTTGCTCTTGTATATACATAATAATATTTTATTTTTTGATGAAGATATATTGATGATGCAAATAATGGGCCTGTTTGGATTGACTTTTGGCTTATGACTTATAAGCCAAAAGTCATAAGCTAAACTTCCTAGCTTATGACTTTTGACTTATTTTTGTTATTTTGACTTTAAAACAAGTGCTTATAAGTACTTTTTAACTTTACTCAAGCACTTCAAAACTGCTTAAAAACTATTTTGGCTTAAGAGCACCTAAAATAAGCCAATCCAAATGGGCACAAATCATGTTTACCAACATATCTAATTGAAATTGATGTGGATGTCTAGAGCCACAAATGGTCAAGCTACATGCTTCCAACTAGTACACAACATGTTCATTTTTATTTATTTATACAATTTTAATAGATAAATTTGAGCAAGTTCTTCGATGTTTAAAACATATTCGAGGTCATATTTAAATAGAGGGAACTTTTGTTCTATTTTTCATGGTTAATGGAGCAAATTTGAGCCATTTTACGACAACGACATATTTTAGAACCAAACTTAAATGGAGGACAAAATTATTCTATTTTTATAGTTAAAGTATATTTTTGATTTGTTTTTGCAAAATTTGAAACTAAATATATGGAAAAGGGTCAAAAATGTTCTTGAGCTATGTGAAATCAAACAAAAATATTCTCAGTTAATAGTTTGGTCTAAAAATGTCTCCATTATTAATAGTTTGATCCAA